CTGCGGGCCTCCCCCCGGGCAGGGGCGCAAAGCTGTAGTGCAGTGGAAAGTCTTAGTAGGAAAGAGTAAGTCTTGAAAGGAAAAAGACAGGACAAGAGATGGAAGGGAGAGTCCAAGGAGAGACTCCGGAGGCAGTAGCAATGCGCTAGACGCGGTCTCGATGAAGGTGGCGAGTTGCACGGACGCTCTGGAGCTCCAGCCGCCACCCTTGCAAGGCGTTTGTCTCGCCGGTGATTGTAGGTCTGGGGGCGAGATCCTGGTTTTCAGTTCAGGGCGCCCTCCAGCTCCTCCTTCTGCTTCTTCCTCTCCGCAAGCCACCGCTGGATCTTCTCTTTAAGCTCTGTGTTTGGTCTGATCTGGTCCATGGTGAGGGGGCTCCGATTGAAAGGATCCGTCTGGTCGCTGAAAGACAAAGCGCCGAGGAGGTTACTCACACAGTCCCAGCGCTGGAAGGAAAAAAGGAGGAAGACAGGCCAGGATGACAGGATCTTCCTGCTGTTACGCGAAGCAAACGCACCGAGGTCAAGTATCACGGGTAAGCGAGACGGATGGCCAGAAGGCAGGAGGCCTGCGCTGCGTACCTGAGGAGGTGCCGGGCGATAGTCGACCGGTCCACGGTGACACGGGATGAAGGCAGTATCACAGGGTCCGACATCAGAGTGCTCATGATCGGGTCCAGGAATTCATCGCAGGCATCCGCGTACGTCTCCTCCTCCTGCTGCTGGCGGTCTGCAAGAGACTGGTGGGCACGCACCGCTTTTAGGCGTTCGGTCTCCCAGTTCCTTCAAAGCCAGGTTTGCTCCTAACTCGTGGCTGAAGCATCTACAGGTCCGGGCTGGCAAGGAGCCCTCCCAGCTGCCCCACCTCAACCTCAGAGGAAGCCCCGCTCTGAGAACTCCAGCTCCACGGCAAAGACACAGTGATACACAGATGCAAGAGGACGCCAGGAACCAGTTCCACCTTTTTTTGTGAGCTCAAATTCGCTCCTGTTCTCACCTTGATCCTCTCAGCCAGGTTGCTGAAAGACACTATCATGTTGCCAGGCTTGTTGATTTTCTTCAGAACCCGAACGGTCTGGGCAAAGAGCGGAGCGGCCATCCTTGGGCACCGTGGCACAGAAGTTTTCTTCATCCCTGGACCGTGGGTTAAAAGAGAGCAGAGGTTAAAGAACCCACGTTTGTCAGGCTGAGAAACGCAGTCCCCACAACAGCCGCGTTACCACCACAAAGAACTCAACGCTGGGGAACAGCTTGACCGTAAGTGAGCACCTCTCCCAGGTTCTCCCCAGAGCGACCCAAGGCAGGAATGTAACCGTGACGGTGCTGAACTCCCATCCCTGCCAGCTGGGCTGCAGCCAACTTCCCCGTGTAAGCGAAACGGAGATTGTTACAGAGGGCACAGTGTCCGTGCCCTCCCAGAGGGCACGCTCCCAGTCCGTGACAGATAGCCAGGAGGTCCCCGGGATGGCTCCCAGATGGCTCCCGCCACCCCACACGCCAGCTCTCCGTCATCACCTACCCAAGGTTTAGGTAAATTGTGCAGATGTCAGAGACGAGCTGCTGCGGCTTGAAGTCGAACTCGCTGAAATCCTTGACTTTCAGAGCTCCCATTTTAGGGCCAACCAGGTGTTGCAGGAAATAGTTGAGCATGGAGATGATGCGCTCGGCAAGGAAAGGATGCACGAAGAGGGATTTAATTTCTGGAACAGAAGCCAACGGTTCCTTGAGCTTCACAGCAACCCCGTCCCGCTCCGACCACCTTGGAACCAAGCTCCTGCCCCCCCACTCCCAGGCAAGGCCCTTCTCCCAGTCCCGGTGGGAAAGAGGGGCTGCTCTCCCCACCTGAGGTCAGGAAGGCCAGAGTGCCAATGGTTTCGTTGGACATGATGTTGTGGAAACGCGCCAGCTGACCAAACATCTGCAGGCTTGACTCCTTCTCGCGGCGAGCCTCCTGGGACAGGCTGTCCCACTCGCCACGGTCCTTCTCGATCTGCTGAACTTTGATCTTACTGAGGTACTGCAAAGAGACGGTGGGGAAGGGTCTGAGCAACGGGCAGGTAAACGGGCCGTGACGGCTACACCAGACCTGTTCTGCACCGCTCGGGGCTGACAGAGGGACACGAAAGGTACAACAGAGAGCTTAAAAGGCCTCCCACAACCACACAACACCCGTTCAGACAGCAAACCGTGGAAATTCCACAAACTTTCACAATCGGATGGGCGATATCCACATCACCCGTCCCACCTGCCAGCCCCCAGGCATTCCATGCTGCGGCAGGTCAAAGCTGCCCCAAAAAGCCCTTCCTGGCAGCAACAGGCAGCTCTGAAAGGTGCTGAGAGACAGTCGCCGCGCACCAGCGGCACGAGTTCCCCTGGCACTCGCCTTGTAAACCCAAAGGAGAGGTGCCCAGAGACAACAGGCCTTTGTTAGGATAAAGCACCTGCGGCACGGCCGAGGGGATTTGATCACTAAAGCCTGGCTGTGATCTGGATCTTCATTCCAACCTGCCTCCTGAGACCACAGGGAGGGAAGAGAGTGCCCTGCACGCAGCTCCCCAGACCCCCCCGTCCTCCTGCCTTCCCTCTCCCAGGGCACTGCCCACACCAGCCTGTAACCCTTTAACGTTAGGAACCCGGCTCCTCTGAGTCTCCTGCAAGTGTCATCTACTGCCTGGACTCGTGGGGCAGGACCAGAGCGAGCTGATGTTCTAGGGACAGAGGGTCAGCATCGCACCCAGCCACCTCCAGGGGAGTAAGAACTGCGGCTCGTGTGATGCCGACAGCACGCGCGCTCGGCCCTACCTGTATGGCTTCGTCCAACAGGAAAATGGCGTCGTTCATGAGCAAGTTAAGGAAGCGCAGGAAGAGAGGGGGATTCATTGCCTCCAGGTTCTCCGAGGCGTAGTCAGCCAGGGCCTGCAAGGAGCGACAGAACGGCGGAGGCTGCGGCACGGGCCCCACGGCAGG